AAAAAAAAAAAAAAGGATTCACACATCCTGTAAAGCTATAATAGAGTTTGTTTTATTCTGGGCTTGTCATGATATGTAACTATTACTGAATGGGTAAATGAAACCACTGCAACTTCATGAACAAACCACCGTTGTAAAATTCTGGCTTATTGTTCTGTGGGATTGGAATCAATGTCTCTAGCACAAATTATTTTTGTAAAATCTACGACATCAGACAAAGCCAAGAAGTCATTTTTTCTTCTCTCTCTTTGTACTTTTATTTCTTCTTTTTATCTTATAATGAAATTTAATAAAAAAATTAAAAGTGGAATATCTCTAGCAGAAGGATACTACATAAGAAGCAGTAGCTGTATGGTAAACCTCCCCGTTGAATTATCGTTCATATTTGCAGTTATTACTCCCTGTTTTTATGCTAAGTAGGGGTTGGATCAGAGTTTTGGTGCAAATGGAAGGATCCTAAGTGAAATTGCATCCAACAATTTCCACTCTGAAAGGGGGTGAGGTTGGGAAAACCTCTTGCCAATTCTTCTGCTTTCCATATCCTCATTGTTTTGAAAGCTCTGTCAACCTTCTGGAGAAGATTTTTTAGGAGGAAGAAGGTAATTGGTGAAAATCATGTCCCCTTTCTTCTAACAGGACAAAACTCGATGGATTTCAAAGTCCTCTCTAAGTGAGGAGCTTGTAGAAATAGTACCATGTTAATCTATGATAGCTGAAAATCGGCAGGAGTCTGGTCTTTTCAGAGAAACATTTTTTTTATTGAAAGGCATACACTTTTAATAAAGATTACATGGAATTTTGCCAACACAATTGAGTGAGAGATTGCTGAATCTACTTCAAAAGGTTTAAAGTTATCACAGAAAGTCTCAACAAACACAAGTATTTGTAACACATTACACTTGTTCATTGATAAATGAGCTGTAATTTGTCCCACATGTAAGCTATATTTCCATAAACATCCTGTTTTCCCCACCTCATCCCAATTTAAATCCTATATTAAACCCATAAATAATTTGAGAGCCAGTGTAAGTGGTGATTAAGGCACCTGGCTAGAAACTGAGAGATTGTGAGTTCTAGTCCTGCCACAGGCATGAAAGCTGGCTGAGTGACTTTGGGCCAGTCAGCTCTGGTGATAAGCCAGTAGGTTAATTTCTGTTGCAATCAAAGGATCAACACTTGGTAGATCTGAAAAAAGTGGACCCTGCACTTGCAAGAAAACACTAAGATGAAAAAAAAATCCAAATTAAATCCTTCATCAGTCTAACTGCTCTGTGCATCTGTTAAAAGTGAATAATAGTTCGCAAAAATGTAGGCATTATAACATCTGTTAGTCCGAAAATGTGCAAAAAGGGTGTTCCTGATATTTGTTAGTGGTTAAGAGTCCTGTTGGCAGGAAGCTTATTCTCCATCCAACCCAGAGTTAGATAATTTCTATTTATAAACAAAGTCAGCCAGACAGTACAATTACAGCCCAATTTGGCCTCATCATTCCAGACACAATCTTTCTCCTCTGTATCATCCCTGAGCAGGCCTAGGAGCTAGAAGAAATATTAATATCTGTGTCCTTTCAGTTTCATTTAATTTATATTGTGTTTTTTTTTATGAAACATGAGTCAAACCATCTAAAACACGCCCACCCATGTCCAACTGATAAAAAGCTCAGTTAAAATTAAAAATACTGAGCACCTAAAGAGCCTTCTTGGGTCATTTTGTCTCCCTCCTTCAAACATATACCTGGATAGACTGTTTATACTTGCTGTTTAAAACTAAGGAGTCATCTTACCATCCTACCACACATCTCATTTCTGATGGAGATATAGAATAGACCATTTGACAATGATATCTATGTTTTATTGTCTGGGGTCCCACAGTGTGCTGAATATGAAGGGCAAACTCATGTGTAAATAAGCCATTATGGTTTGTAAGCGGGGTTAACCTCTTGAATTAGCATGATGTGTGAATCCACCAATAGTTAATTGTGCAACTTATAATTGGTGAATATAACCTCTGTTACGTGGAGGACCATATCAGACTTTTCTTAATATGTCACATTGTTCCCAAAATGAGCAGGTTCAAAGCCTGATTTGGGAAAGAGTTTCAGTGTTGTTGTTGTTGTTTTAATGATATGTGCCTTAAACCAGCGGTCCCCAATCTTTTTCTGGCTTTGCAGACTGGTGGTGGTGGCAGGTGAAGGATGGTTTCCTGTGAGCGCAGCTTCATTTGTGCAAATGGAGCTTCATGTGCGCACGTGCTCGCCTGCTGCTTGTGCAAGTGGAGCTGTGCTCACATGGTCCGATTCCGGGCCATGGCCCAGCGGTTGGGGACCCCTGCTTTATATAGCTATAAAGCTGAAAAAAGAAATATTTTTCTATTTAAACTCTACTCCCCAAAGTGTCTAAAGTTTTAGCCCCAACTGCTCTGGGAAGTTTTGGGATACCATAAAAGAGTAATCTTGGTGGGCTGCATGAAGCCTCTGAATAACATTTGTTTCACCTCCATCGTAAGTTATGATTATGGACTTCTGAAATAATAAATTAAGATGCCATAACTAACACCTTGTTTGAATATATTTAAAAAAATGACGTTCTTCCTTAATTTGATTTAGGAGAGAGAGGTAATAGGTAGCAAGGGCTTATGTAAGAAAATGGATTTAGTACTGTAATGGCTGATTTAAATTTCCCCATTCTTTTTGGACTCCTTCTGAGATAGAAAAGTATCTTGAAAAAGAAACCATCTCTTACCTTCCTCCCCTGGCTGTCCTATCTGTCCATCTTCTCCATCTCGTCCATCTTTTCCTGGAAGACCCATCCTTCCTATATTCCCAGGAGCACCCCGAGCTCCGGGAGCACCTGGAGGGCCTTGTGGTCCTAGCACGCTGCAGATTACTTGCCTGGGATTTTTCTGAATTTCTGCTCTTGCAAAGCTACTGAGAAATTGATTAGCTATACAGGGAGTAATCCAGGCAACCAGAAAAAGGAAGATCATGGTGATACCTGCAAGAAATGAAACAGAAACAATTATGGGTGCATGTTGCAAGAAGCAGCTAGGACTGGCAGGAGCACTGGCAGTGCCCCAGGGCTCTGTTCTGGGCCCAGTGCTCTTCAACATCTTCATCAACGATTTGGACGAGGGGATAAATGGGGAAATCATCAGGTTTGCAGATGACACCAAGCTGGCAGGAATACCCAACACTCCAGAAGACAGGCTTAAGATACAGGAGGATCTGGACAGATTTGAACACTGGGCACTATCTAACAAAATGAAATTCAATGGTGAAAAAAGTAAGGTTCTACATTTAAGCAAGAAAAACCAAATGCACAGGTATAGTATAGGGCAGGGGTAGGCAACCTCGGCTCTTTTATGACTCATGGGTATCAACTCCCAGAATTCCTGAGCCGAGGTTGCCTACCCCTGGTATAGGGGGTACCTTGCTCAATAGTAGTAACTGTGAGAGGGACCTTGGAGTCCTAGTGGACAATCACTTAAATATGAGCCAGCAGTGTGCTGCAGCTGCCAAAAAGGCCATCACAGTGCTAGGCTGCATTAACAGAGGGATAGAATCAAGATCACGTGAAGTATTAATACCACTTTACAATGCCTTGGTAAGGCCACACTTGGAATACTGCATCCAGTTTTGGTCACCACGATATAAAAAAGATGCTGAGACTCTAGAAAGAGTACAGAGAAGAGCAACAAAGATGATTAGGGGACTGGAGGCTAAAGCATATAAGGAAAGATTGATGGAATTGGGTATGTCTAGTTTAATGAAGAGAAGGATGAGGGGGGGACATGATAGCAGTGTTCCAATATCTCAGGGGCTACCACAGAGAAGAGGGAGTGAAGCTATTTTCCAAAGTGCCTGAAGGCAGGACAAGAAGCAACGGATGGAAACTAATCAAGGAGAGAAGCAACCTAGAACTAAGGAGAAACTTCCTGACAGAACAATTAACCAGCGGAACAACTGCCTTCAGAAGCTGTGAATGCTTCAACACTGGAAGTTTTTAAGAAGAGACTGGACAGCCATTTGTCTGAAATGGTACAAGGTTTCCTGCCTGAGCAGGGGGTTGGACTAGATGACCTCCAAGGTCCCTTCCAACTTTATTATTATTATTATTATTATTATTATTATTATTATTATAGGAGTGAAATATGTCACATAATTAACAGGACAACTCGCTGCAGGACAAGAGTTACACTAATATCAAAGAAATAGTGGGACAGAATCATTGAAGAAAGGTTGCAAAAAGAGGGACAGAATGAAATGTGAATGACAAAAATTAAAATATTTTTTTGTTTTAAATAATTAAATAGAATTGTTAAATTTTCCCGCAGCGAGTTGTCCATGGTGAGTTGTCCTGCAGCGAGATGGCTGTGGTGAGTTGTCCCATTTTGCACCCAGAAGGACCCTTTTGGCAGTTCAGGACTATTGGATCTATTGTGGCAGCAGCTTTTGGGTACTAGAGCCCACATAATCCGACACATGCAATGTTTACAGGAGTTAGAAGCATAGGTCCACCGATGGTTGATGGAATTGTAAGCATTAATATGAAATGAAGAAATTAAAGGGAGTGGATTATGTGATTAATAATGGTCATTTCCCAGGCAATTGTTAAGTAGTAACATACAAACACTCTCTATTGGATAGCTGATTTATGCAAATAGTGGGATTTTTCTTTAGCAAGACTGTTTGTTTCAAGCCACAAGATATAAAATGGAAGGCCGAAATGCTCCCCCACTTATTTCAGATTTGCACCAATTTCTTTCTTTTTTTTCCTTTGTAAAACGAGACTAGCCTATCTGGCTGGTATACTGAGACTACTCCAGCATAATGCAGTGGCCAAAGTTATGGGAAAGTCTAGATTCAAATCCCTTCTCAACCACAGAGCTCATGGATGAGTTGGGGCCCTTCCCTCTTTCTCATTGTCCAACCTCATAGTGTCATGATGAAGATATAAAAGTAGGGGAGATCCCAAGTATGCTTTGAGGTTTCTTAAAAAATGTAAGGATGTAAATTCATAAACGAACGAAGGAAATAATAACTTGCAGAAAATAGTGGGGCACTGATAGAAAGTAATAGCAGGTATCATATTGGAAGATTAGTAAATACATAAATTTGTAAAGGTTCGAATAATATTATTAGGTCCTGGAATGATGTTGTCAGACAAGATACGGGGAAGGGGAAGCAGCAGAACTGACACCTGACACAAGATCTACTTCCTTTGTTGGTATTTGTTGGTGATCTGAGAGGAGCCATCCAGTGTGTTCCCACAATTTGTGTGATTTCTGTGGAGTTGGGGAAGCTCCAGGGTAATACTGCAGAGAGAGTTTTACGGTGTTTCTCTGGAGTGGCGGAGAAACATGAGTCCCCGTTGGTAGGAGCTTCGGCCCTTTCTAAGCTTGGATTTTCTTCTTTCAGTTGCAGTGAGAATTATTTTCATGGCCGTGAAAGGTCATCCTAGAGGGGAAGAGCAGAGAACATTTCCCTTGAATCACCGAGAGGGAGTATTGACCACCGGAAGGACGAGAACGTTTTCTTAGGACATGAAAAAATTGCTTACAACTGGGAGTGACAAACTAATGACCACCAGATAGAAGAGGTTTCTGAGTGCAGATCATGGAGAAAGAGATAGAGATATATAAATGTGTGTACGTGACAGAGAGAGAAAGAGATCTCATATTTTTTTTAAAATTCACTGGAGTGTAATTTTCTGAGTCCAACTTAAAGGGAAGAGATTTAAGTTTAAATCACAGAATATAAAATCAAACTATGACCATTTCCCACCTGTAATAACTTTAGCTGGGGGAATTAGGAATGATAGAAACAGTCTGTATGTCTTCAGGGAAAGGGAGCAATGGAGATCAAACACAGTTTCTGATGTGTTTCTTCATTGCAAATTGCTTGCTGGAGAAATGTGTTACGAATTATTTTTATATACAGAATTCCACCATATATATAAATTAAGACCACACAAGAGAGTGGGAAACAGAAAGAAAGATAATGATCAAATGATTTTTGTTTTTAGACTAGTCTCCAATATTTTCCTCTATTCCATGTTGTATGCACTGAGCTAGTGAAAAATTCTCACTCAAGGCACACTGGGTCAAATTATTATATTTTGATACATGAGGCAAAGCATAAGATAATAAGATAAAAACATAAGAAAAATAATAGTCCAACATAAAAATATAAGATAATAAGGTAAAAAACATGATAGAATCACATTTTGAACACTAGAAGGAAGCTTTCAATTAAAGAACACATACACTTGACTAACAGTTACAAAATGATGCAGAATATTGAAATATTGGAAATACTGAAGGATATTTTTAAATAATGGAATCATTATTTAATTACTATTAACAATGACAAGAGAAATATCTACTTCTATGGATAGAGTGTCTCTAAAAGATATAATGAAAGAAGAACAAATTTTATCTGACAAGACAAACTGAACTGAAAATGGACTTACGGATGAAAGGCTACAAGAATGACATGGAAAAGGATGCTAGACTGGACATACAAAAGAATCTTCCCTTGAGATGGGGAGGGGAGGAGAAAGAGACAGGATATGCCCAAGAGCAATTAAAAAATCTGGGAGATTAACCAGTTTAATGGTGAGTATATGGGGAAGAAAAGCATATCAAATTTGTTGGCCGAAGGTATGGGAAAAGAAAAACTCATAGTTTTAATGGAATACATAGTTGGATTAGTTATGGAAAGTGAATCTGCTATTTTTTAATCTCTTAAAGTTTCTTTTAACAGCTAAAGAGGAACAGATGGATCCTATTAGAAATGGCAAATATCTCTCTGGATATTTTTTTTTGTTCTCTTAGTTTTACTATTTAAATACTTAAAATGAATACTTTAGTTCTGGATTAATTTTATCCCTTCCCTAGAAACAGCAAAGATTTGGGGGGTTTTCTTTCTTTCTTTTTTGGTGTTATATCTTTATTTTAAAAACAGTTTCTTGGTTGAAATCAGATAGGTTGTTTATGAGAGCGCAGAATCCAAGACAAATCATTGGTGGAGTTCAGTGAGAGAAATGTGCAAATTAAGGACGATCGTGGCCATCTCACTTTTATTTTTTCAGTTTTAAAACTGAGCTCTTCAGAATTTTACCCTCTGTCATTGATCATGTGTGACTTTATTCATGGGAGAGTCACAATTCCAGCGATTTCTTGGCAACACTTTTTTTTTGCATAAGAGACAGACTTTGCAACTGCAATTTTAAAACTCAGCATTTTTGCACTATACTTTTTCTTCCCGCGCCCGTCAGTGGCATACAAACCTCAAGAAATCAACTGTTTTAAGGTGGCATGCTTACTTTAGCAGTAAATTGTTCTTACTTTTAGCTTGCATAGCCTCTGGCTGAAAACCCTACTTAAAAAAACGCTTTAACTAAGTTAAAAATAACATGCTACTTACCAGCACCACTTTCTTCAAGCAGCGCCTGACATCCAGTCGAAATCTGCTGAATCTTAAACAGATGTCCTTCAGCAGGACCTTGTCCACTTTTGTTGGGAGTTACTGCCACAAAGCATTTCCTTTAAATGAAGCATCTGGAAAGCTTGCCTTCTCAAATAAAGTTTGTTGAAGTGGTTGCCTTGCATTTGCAACGCAGTTTCTTCTAGCAGCTTGTTTTTTTTGGCTCAGCTTTGCCAGAGGCATATTTTGATTATTGTGTAATGCGTTTGAGCGTCTGCCTTGAGTCACGTGAGATAGGGAAGAAAACCTTCCACACATGTGGCTAAACACTTGGAGAAATCCCTTCTCCTGTGTCAGACAAAGGCTTCCAAGAATCAGGAGCTGCTTGTTTTCAACATGCTACCTGGTGATGCTAGATGTTTCTGTCTTAGCAACTAAGATATGTGGACTTCAACTCCCAGAATTCCTTGGCCAGTTCATGTCTTAAAGCTTCTAAGGTAGAGAACCATTGCCCATTACTGGTCAGCGGGTAGCCCTTAATCTAGCTCAGAAGTATTTCTAATTCTGTTCCAAACAATTTTGCCAATTTTCAACAGGTGCAGGCATCATGTATTTATTTTAAGATCAGTGATACACTGTACTGAAAAAAAAAAGTGCAGATGCTCAGTGACAAATACTGTACATATACTAAGGAAATCTTTCAAATATGTTTTTGTGGCAAGATTCTGAAGGGTTCTGGAACAAAGGGAAATTGTTTAGTTTAACTGTTGCTTTCTTGCTTTTTGTAATTGGCTTTTGCACCAGAGAAATGTCATGCAAGCGTGGGAAACATGTACATGGATGCGATATACTGAAGGAGGGAATAAGGGAGTGTACAGGAATGATTGATGTCTTCTTTACGATGTAATGGCTCTGTTGTTTGATATTCATTGGCTAACAAAGTTTATAAAGCAATGCTACCAACTTTCTAAGGTGTGGCACTTCTGGACGTAACTCTGCCAGCGTTCCAGATTGTTGGCCACCCAAGTGCTTAATTTGATCAAATAAAGTGCTTGCTTGATCAAGAAGTCTCCACTTGGGTTATCTGATTAGATTGATATGATGATCTCAAGCTCACATAAGGGACTAGGTAGGACCTTACAATTCCAAACCTGATGCATGAACACTTTGGAGAAAGTTTTATTTAAATAAACAAAGCTTCCACTTATAAAATACACATATTTAACAAAAGGCCTTTTAGCCACCTAGAATGCATTTTTTTTTGTTAAAGAAATGTAAGGAATACTAGAACTGTCATAAATACATGCCAGTTGCTAAGCGTCCGAATTTTGATCACATGACCATGGGGAAGCTGCAACGATTGTGTGAAAAACAGTCATGTTACTTTTTTCAGTGCCATTGTAACTTCAAATGGTCACTAGATGGTTTTAAGTCAAAAACTGCCTATAATCCCAGTTCTTGCTGTCTTTTTCAAGTGTGACATTAAATGGTGCAATAAAACTGACAAGAGCATATGTTTGTGATCTTTTTGCTTGTTTCTTTATGTAAACTGGTGACCCCCTCACCATCAGGATGCTTCGACTGGGCCTTGTTGTACTTCTTTTTAGTTGTCTTCCGTTTCCAAGCTTTAGCCCCCTTTGTTCCAGCCTTGGCAAACTGTGCAATATTACAGCTATGTTCTTTACTGGAGCATTGTTGCTTCTTATGAAATCTGGGAGAGTTTGTGCAGTGTCCAAGAGATCTTGTAAACTATTCTAACAGCAAAACAAAATGCTTAGCTTAGGCTATATTAAGACTTTATGAGGCAAGCCAGGTTTTAACTGCTCTGTTTAGATTCGTATAGCTAAAAGCCCTTAAAAAAAATGAAATGTTCACAGATGTTAAACAAAATAACAACACTACGATTTAGTTTAGGCTAAAACGGGGCTCATATTTTAAATTAGCACTACCTCGTTTACAGTTAACATAATATGCCAGAACATAGTCCAATATTTATGTGGTAAATAAACTCCAGTGTGATTTGTATTAGGACAATCACAGATGGTGATGTGCTATTTTGGATATCAGCCTTCTACTACACTCACTAAAGAGAAACAGAGGTAGATGTAGACTGTGAGTAAGTTCTCCTGCTGTTAGCAATTACAATGCTTTCAGTATAAAATAAAGGTATAAAAAAGATTATGTGGAAAAACATAGGATAAGAACTGAATTAGAAAAAAACCCAAATATGACAACATGAAAAACCTTTCCTGGGCTGTATTGGATGTGGCTCATGAAAAGAATTGGACAGATCTAGAAAACAATAGCTTTTCTAGAATCCAATTCAGTTTATAGTGCAAACCCAAATTCAGTGATGGTTACTGTGCAAAATTATTCTTCTTCCCATTCCCCCCCCCCCCATTGTATAAAATCTGGTACAGTATAGCAAGTCTTAGTGGTGTGCTGGCTTTCTTGCAACTAAAACACTTAGAAGTATTTTGATGAGGTTTCCAAGTGTCAGTTCAGAATAATGAAGAAAAAAAGCACTTGAAACTTATGAAGTACAGAAGTTTTTCTTTTGCAGATAAAATCCTCAAACAAGATAGTATGGAATTTGCAGATTTTAAAATCAATCTAGTTTTACTAAGAGTCTAACTTACTACTAAGATGTTGCATTACACTGAAAAACAATACTTGGACCTAAACATAAAGATTAGTGTAAAAGGATAAGGGAATTATTAACTTATTAAAACTGAGATAATAAAAAGCTTATGTAAAAATAGACATTTTTGGAATAATATGCTTTAAAACAGGGTCTCTTTTTTCTATGCTGCAATTACAAATGTCAAAATATTCTCTATTATTTTCTACTTTTTAAGTGTCAAATTCAATTCATCTGGATTTACCATGTTTTCCCGAAAGTAAGACCTGGTCTTACTTTCTTTTGGGCTCTAAAGTAAGCACTAGGATTTTCTTTTGGGGAGGGCTTACTTTTTGCCGGTACCAGTAGGCCGCAAGCACATGGGGGTGGGACAGGGCCTGTGCATGGGATGGAGAAGCTGGTGGTGGACCAGGTACGGTCCTGGGGTGGGCAGGCGGCGTGCCCTTCCCGTGCCAGCCCGGCCCCTGCAGCCCTGGGGTGGCCGTGCTGGGCGGTGACGGGAAGAGCGCCAAGGTGGGGGTAGTAGGCCGACCAAAGCCTAACCCTCACTCCCCCCAACCCTAACGCGAGGTGGCAAATGGCCGCAGCTGGCGGCAAACGGTGGCGCCGTGGCCCGTTGAAACTGGCCATTTGCCATCTCATGCATCATGCCCAATGCTGCTGCCATAAGGCCGTGGAACAAGCCAGGCGGTGGTAAGGAACCAATATACCGGTACTGTGGGTCAGATCCCCCCTCCCCCATTGGCTTTGCAGGACGTCTGTGCAGGTCGTTAAGTAGGGCTCACTTTTGGGAGGAGGGCTTATATTAGGCCCACCCTCCGAAAATCAGCTGCGGCTTACTTTTGGGGGCAGGTTTACTTTTGAGGAAGCACAGTAAAAAATATCCCATCACTTGCCAGCAATGCCTTTCTATTATAACCAGAGGGATAACTTTGGCCAAAAAAGACAGCTCCATAAAAAACAGCAATAATAAGCAACCTTAGGAATTTTCCACCATGCAGGGAGAATTATTAATCTAATGCATAGTGCCCAGTTTGATTCTATTCATATATAATTAGGTCAAAATGAGTTTTTTCTTTCCACAATTAAATACTAGAGCCAGGAAGATTATCAATCACACTTCAACTAATATAAATATCCATTATACTTCTCAATTGAGCATTACGTATTAATGTTGGTCTGTACTCTTTGCATTTCAGTAATTTCTGGCTTGCCATGTTGACGTGGTAAAACCTCCCTCCAATTTGAGGCCCTCAGTTTGTCTAGGCACAGTGAATCCAGGCATATGTTACAATTAATGAACTAGCCTTTGATACCATAAGATTCAACATTTTGTTAAAAAATTACAGTTAGAATTAGAGCATTTCCAAACTGATAAGAATTTGAATTCGTTATTCTTGAATTCCAAAAATAATTACTAAGCTGAAAATCATTCAAAATCATAATGCTTTTAAAAGAATGTAGATGATTTCCCCTCAACATTATGCTTTTTCTGAGATTGTGACACTACAACTGCTAAAATTCCAGGCCAATATGAACAAGTATGGGCAGACTGATATAAAACAAAAAAGCTCAGGGGTCCATAGATGAGTCTATAGGAAAACAGAATCTTTACATGCAACAGAATAACGTAACCTGTTAGAAGTGCAATATCTGAATCACTTTTAATAACTGGAATGCTAAAATAAATTCTGCTGAGTAACTGAGAACCATTTCAGAATTGTGAAATTCTATTAGATTCAGATAGTTTTCACCAAAGTCAGCTTTAATCTTTTCAGGGAAGTAAACAATTATGTATTTTTGAAACAGACCCTATCAACTGTGGGCTGTTTGGTATCTGCAATATTTTCTGACTCTTCCAATCAATATAGCTTTTTTTTTTTTTTTTAAATTCAGAAATTCATCCAGCACATTCCAAGGATTTGAGCAAACCTGCTTAACAAATAGAAATCTGGCTGGCTCTCTTTCTACTTGGAGAGCTCCAGGACGGCTGGGCCATGCTCTAGTATGATGCGAAAGAACAAGCCATCTCAGCTGACAACTTGCTAAGGAAAAGTGACCCACATACAACATTGATCCATTTAGATGCCTATTTACAAGTCCTTTGCCCAAAACTACTGCCCCAGAAAAGAGGCCATGGGGTCATCTGGTCGCTGGCGCTTCATTTGGTAAGCCTCCATTTCCTCCTCTGTTGGTTCTCGGTTTTCATACATGCTATTATATGGTCTCTTTCTCTCATCTAATTGCATGATTTCTTTCACATGAAGGAGACGGGCTTCTTCTGCATTCAGTGCCTGAAAATAAAAATTCATTCATGTATTACAGTGGCCCCTGGAATTACAACTATATTTAAACAATCTAGTAAGAAGATGGAAAGACTCAATATAGTACAAAGAGTGAAGCTGTGCTAAAAGATAATCAGGAAAAGTAATGAGAAATCTGGAAAAAGCTGCAATCCCATAATAGATCCCATGGGTCAAGTAAAAGTCAGATTTGATCCAAAGATTTCCAGTGACTGGCCAATATAAAATCTTCAAGAGTTATAGATCAGAATAGTATAAAAAAATAATCTCACAGATGATTTCACAGAAGTGAAACATATTTTCGTATAAGCTAATAGTATATAATAATAATAATAATAATAATAATAATAATAGTAGTAGTAGTAGTAGTAGTAGTAGTAGTAGTAAAGTTGGAAGGGACCTTGGAGGTCATCTAGTCCAACCACCTGCTCAGGCAGGAAACCCTATACCATTTCAGACAAATGGCTGTCCAGTCTCTTCTTAAAAACCTCCAGTGTTGGAGCATTCACCGCTTCTGGAGGCAGGTTGTTCCACTGGTTAATTGTTCTGTCAGGAAGTTTCTCCTTAGTTCTAGGTTGCTTCTCTTCTTGCTTAGTTTCACCCGTTGCTTCTTGTCCTGCCTTCAGGCGCCTTGGAAAATAGCTTGACTCCCTCTCCTTTGTGGCAGCCCCTGAGATATTGGAACACCAGTGGCGTAGTGTGGGTTGTCAGCACCCGGGGCAAGGCAAGTAATTTGCGCCCCCCTCCACAGTGGGCGGCGACCCGGCGGCTCGGATCGGATTCGCACAGGCAGGGGCAGAGAGCTGCGAGTGCGAGCGCGCCCCCCCAGATGTTGCGCCCGGTGCGGCCAGCACCCCCTGCACCCCCCATGCTACGCCTCTGTGGAACACTGCTATCATGTTCCCCCTCGTCCTTCTCTTCATTAAACTAGACATACCCAATTCCAGCAACCGTTCCTTATATGCTTTAGCCTCCAGTCCCCTAATCATCTTTGTTGCTCTTCTCTGTACTCTTTATCTAGAGTCTCATATAAATGATTATATCATACTGCAAATTTATTCAAATTTCACAGGCTACTAATAATTAATGCTAAATATAAAAACTTCAGCATCCATTGAGATTTTCAGTAATCAACAGGAACTTGCTCCTATATAGCTGTGAAAATGCAGCTTGCTATTCCATAGAATGAGAATATAATTTCACAGTGGTATCAAAAGGGACACAACAGGAATTTCGGATTCTCTTAAATCCAAGAAAACCAGAACATAGTTTATTATGCAAATATGTTCTAATTGGAAAAGGCAATTTCTCTTCCCTAAATTCAATATGGGTCTGTGAAAATAAATATGGATCTATGAAGATCTGTTGCTGGAAAGATAGCTGTAGAGAAAGAAGTTCCAGCATAAGAATTGAGAGAAATAAGCCTCTATTCTCAAGGTATGCCAGATAGTCTGTACCAGGGTTATCAAACTGCCGGCCCACGAGCTGGACGCATCACGTGGAAGCCGCGCCCACCCCATTGCCAGCAATGGCAAAACCGGCCCGATACGTTGTGCAACGTCACGTGACGTTGCGAGTTTGACATGCCTGGTCTGTACACTTCAAGAAGATTTGAAAATTCTATAGGATTAATACAGTTGACAATGCTTCTATGCATACCTTTTTCAATTTTTCTTGTTTCTTTCTTTCTTCTCCCTCACTATCAGAACTTGTACTCTTCTTATGCTTTTTCTTTCTCTTCTTCTTTTCTTCTTTTTGTTTGTGTTGGTGTATCTGTGGCAACCGGAAAGATGATACAATAAATGCAGACAGACATGAATGTGGGTACTCTAGGCTGCAGGCAATGGGTACTCAAAGGAGTTACATATACATGAAACTGATGACCCGGAAACTTTCTCTTAGGGCCAGATATGTGTATCCGTATCACTTACCTGGCAGAGTCCTGTCCTACCTGAAAATTTCAACAACTGCAATAGATGCGTAATTGTCGTTGTACAATAGTTGCATTTTAACTGCCTAGAACAGTGATGGCGAACCTTTTAGAGACCGAGTGCCCAAACTGCAACCCCAAACCCACTTATGCATCGTCGGGTGCCGGGCGGGTGTGACCCATTGGGTGGGTGTGGCTGCGGTGGTAACAGCAGACTGGGCGGGACTAAAAAGTTCAATCAATCAATTCCAACTTTGCAAGATCTTTTTTTTCCCGCGAGAAGTTGAAATTAACTGATTGAACCTTTTTTTTTTTGCACACGGCGGCGGAGGCCTAAAGCAAAAAGGTTTTATAAAACCCAGCTGAAGGCCTAGGGCTGGGGCGACGGCACGCGTGCCCACAGAGAGGGCTCTGAGTGCCGCCTCTGGCACCCGTGCCATAGGTTCGCCACCACCGGCCTAGAAAGTGCTATTGTGAAGCCACGAAACCTACTGGCTTTAGGACCGCTGCATCAAGGTGAGAGCCAAAGCAATTGAAGAGTTTTGGCGAACTGAAATTTCTTCTTATAATAATTGCTGGAAAATGTATTGGACGTGACTTGAACTGTCAGAGAGGGGAGGGAGAGTTTCGTTCTTTTAATTAACTGCTTCCCGCCATTTCTTCTTCACTTTAATCCTACCGGTTTGTTATTGCTCAATAAAGTATACATTAGAGAACACAATGGGTTCTGGTGTTTTGCTTGGTTGGGCCTTTCAGCCGGAGGTTGACAGCTATAGTAGCTGCCATGTTTTTAGGACTTCATATAAGGCAGAAACAAGTAACCTGAAGTCCATTCACACTTCACAACTTACTTTTCTATTGGCCTCTAAGATCATGCCACTGAATAATGGCAGAATGTTTATTTTTTACTTTTTGCAAATTAAGCAGCAAAATGTGTGGCACCCCCTTAAAGCTTATATGTACTTATTTCACTTAATCTTCCTGCCCTCTAAAATAGGGGGAAAAAAAGGGAGCTGCCATATCCTGTGACATAATTATACCACTGCTATCCCTTCTGAGGCCTTTCTGGCTACTGGAAAAAAAAAATTATAAATTACACTCTAGTATATACCAGAATAGCTTCTCTTGTCCTTGTCTGGTAATAGGCTTGTAGGAAAGCCATCCATTAGAACAGGGGTAGTCAACCTTGGCTCTTTTATGACTCGTGGACTTCAATTCCCAGAATTCCTGAGCCAGCTTAGCTGGCCCAGGAATTCTGGGAGTTGAAGTCCACGAGTCATAAAAGAGCCAAGGTTGACTACCCCTGCAATGGAAAGAAAACAAACACAATAAAACAAGAAACCCACCTCCACTAGAGTTTTGGGTTTGGTTAACTGCTCGTCCTCATGCACCTCAGTTAGCAATTCTTCACTGGCATTCTGTGTGTAGGAAAAAGAATGAGAAAAAAACCAATTTCACAAAGAGAGTTAAGTACAGTATTAGGTTTGTTTTAAAAATGTCACTCTATAGTTCCAGTAAATAAACTATATCTTACAGCAATTTCCTTTCCAGCTTCTCCCGTACAGTATGAAAACTTGACAAATGAGTAGCAGCATTTATAGCCCCATCTTCCTTCTTTCCAGTAAGAACCCCAAATACACTGTAAGGAAAACAAAGGAATTAACTGCTTATAATAATGGCTTGCAATTTCATGTAGTACATTTCATAAAGGTTTTTTGTTTCCCAAAGAGATCGTGATAAATTTAAGAAATACTCTATTCTTGAAGAATATAGTATTTAAATTTCTATACAGGTTCGGTACAAATGAGCAGAGACAATGAAAAATACACTAATCAGTTGAGTCACATGTAATAATTCCTTCGTATCAAGAACCAAACCCTGTTCTATTATATTGTTTTATTTGAAAGGTTTAGCATCTGCTTAATTCTAATGAAATCAATGGAATCTAAAAAATATGGGATAGATTTTACTTGCAATATTTTTCACACTTTAAGCTCATTATCTTCCCAGACAGAAGGTTCAAAATTAGTTAACTACGCATTTCTATAATTATTTGATGAATTTTCTCCTTGCATTTAACCTTAACCAGTAAATATTAAATGCCTTCCTCATAGAATATTTTGAAATAAATAAGGAAAATAAACTGGTGGTTCAGTGAAAGAAATGTCAAGCCTCTTATTCAAGGAAACAAGCTGCATCTAGAGTATCTTCAGTTTCAATTCTGCTAAAAACTCCTTCATAACAAATGTTTCACAATGCTCTCTATGAACGTATGCATGACTAACATCAAACACTTTGTGATGACTAACACCATAGTGTTATGAATGACTAACAAACAACAGAGACTTAATGTTTAGATAACAAACTGACTGAACATTACAAACTGATTTCTCATGTTTTAAACCTGATTTTGAGTAAAGTTAGTAACCAAGCCCCAATTCAATCTGTTGGCTTCATCTTAATTGTGCCATGAAAATTCCCTAATGGACCACATGCCACAGTAGAACAAGACTATTAAGACAATAGTAATAGAGCAAGACTATTTCCTAAAGAAAGCAATCCTAAAAAGTAATTTTAAAAAAATCACTGAAGCCAAAAATTATATTGGCCTCTAGATTTTTGCTGGCTTTTTGCAATTGTAAATCTCAGAATAATTCTGAGCAGAGAATCTTTGCTAACTGTTCATTACTTGAACAGACTGATTTCTAAGACAGAGCTTTTTTATTTTAGGTCAGACCAGGCATTTATTTATTTTTAACCAATGACAGCAATTCACTGAGAATCACATATTGGGGAGAGCACATGCCAGGGTAGGGCTGAAGTTATTAGCCCAGCAAGTCCTTGATGTATGACCATTCTTTCATATGATGGCGCTGAAAGTATGGTTATAATCCATCCTCAAGTTCCAGCCACCCCAGCACCCTACAAGTCATGTAATTGTGATCCGAGTGCTTGGGAACTGATTCACACTTACAATTACTTGCAACACCCATGATTGTGGTTTGTGACCTTCCCTGCTGGTTTCCCCATAAAGTCAGTGGGGGCAGAGAAGGTTAGAAGTCACTAGGATAAGTCTGCGCATCCTCCGACTCTCATGCCTCCTCATGCAACCCTTTTTCAAACTGCACCATTGCACCTCCTTCCTGGCCCACACGACTCTTACGCACCCCTGGCCATGCCTCTTGTGCACCCCTCTCAGAGCTCCCTGACTGTGCCGCATCTCTTGCACACTGTGTGCCACTCCACCCTCCCTGACCCTCTTATGCACACCCTTTCCATCTTCATGCACCCCTTTGCTCCCGCCCAGCGGCAGCCGCTTACTTCCCTGCTGGCCTGGAACTTGCAAGCTGATTTCGGTTGTGGGAACCCAGTAAGAAGTTGCATGGCCTAATGACTGTGGGAGCTGGTTAATAATAATGGTATAACAACGCAGAAGTATGACAAAGGCATACTCTATTTGATGCTACACATCCTAACAGCTTCCAGATTAGTTTATGCTCAAAACTGGAGGAATAAGGGAACTCCAACGGAAGAAGAAATCCTGTATAAAATTTTATCATGTGCAGAGATGGACAGGCTTACAATGGCTATGAAAGATAAGACAGAACTGGAATATTTCAAAATCTGGGACAAATTTTACTGCTGGTATGAATCAAGGAGAACCGCTCGGATCC